AGTTTGTTTTTCAATTGCCTATTACATTACACATTAAAAGTTGAAAAAAATGTTTTATGCTTGTGTCTTTTCTTTACATCACAAAAACCTGGCTTTGAACAAGGGTGTGTAGACTTTTTATATCCACTGTATTAACAGGGATTTTCTCAAATAATGTGCTACCACCCTGAACACAAATGTCAGATATGGCTATAAATTTCCACTACGGGTAGGAAGAAACTTCCGGTAGGAAAAAACTTCAGAACAGCTGCACCACTTGGTCAACCACAATGAACTATTAATTCTAAAATTTGCCCTGAGGAGATTATGTTACCAACGTCTCCCTTCATTCTTAGTACTAATAACATCTATGTGACTACTGGGTTCTACTATTGTTACCGTAGTTGTCAAATTAACTTTTTAGTTATTTCATGCTTTTCCAGGTTACCATTACCATAAATCAGTTCAGCTTTGGTCACATGATCTGCAAACTCGCAGTCTATTGGATCTGGAAACTTCACTTCCAGACTTTCACTTTGCATTTTAATATATTCTGACACTTTAAACAACATTTTTAAAAACTTAATTTGATACATAACTTTTTTTCTGGTTAAAAATAAACCATGTAAAGTGAGAAAGTTTTACTGAGACAGAGTACAGCTTTATTAAAGTCAAACTTCAGGCATGTCTGAACTCTTCAAACTCAACTTCCAAATGAAAAAAGGACAAAATCAATATTCTCAAATAAAAAGACAAAGCCATGTACAAAGAGTGTTGTCTCAACAGTCACACATTTAAAAGCAAAATTGTACAAGCAAAAAAGAGCACGCCACAGTAACATGATTCTATGCAAGTTCAATGCAAACTATTTACGTAAGTTTCTCAACAATATGCATTATGTAGTAACACAGGTTGAACAGTAATCAACATATCTTGTGTTCATCCACGTTTTACTTGAAGCAACAACACGAGAGCGATATGAACCCAGTTAGTTACTGTAAGCAATTCCACTACAGAAAGAAGGAAATGAGTGATTTTCATCCATATATTCAAACAATAGTTCTGCTCTGATATTTCAAAAAAAAAAAAGACTTTTGGGCAACATTGCACAAATAAAGACACAAGGAAGAGAAATGTCTTTGACATACAAGAGTGTTTCGACTTTAAAATATGTAGTATGTGACTTTTTTAAATCAAATCAACAGTCATGGGAACTATTCAGATGCAGGTTTTCAATACGCAAACACAAGAATCATGAACGCCTACAGCTGGAAAAATCTAATATTTCTAATATTTTATTAAATCTAATATTAGTCCGCTGCAAAAATGAAAATACTCCATTCAATTAATTGTATGGAAAATTCAAATTGAGTTAAAGTTGAAACGTCCTTTTATCCACCGATTGATTCAAAAACAAACAAACAAAAAAAAGAAATAAAATAGTTTGGCAAACGTTGGAAAATGCACTTACCTGGGAGAAATCAGTGGGATGTGTTTTTACTCCCAGGAAAATAACATAACAAAATTAATCTTTTCATGTCTAAAATAAGTGGAGCAGAACATTTTGAAAATATAAATGCAATAAATGTGGGCAAAAAAAACATGGACAGAATTTTTAACTCGACACATAAAAAAGGCCAATCTGAGTTCAGTCTTTTTAAAATCACAGGTGTCCAACTAGACGTGCACTGCACTAATGTAGTGCACATTAGTGCAGGTTAGTTGCCAATACGGGGGGTGAGGCCCTTTTAGGGGCACGGAGCTATGGACAGGGAGCCTAGCAAGGTGACATTTTATATAATAATAATAATAATAATATATTCTGACTTATTTGTACCATTAGTTTTTGAAAATAAGAATCAATGGCTTCCCAAAGAAACAGCTGTTATCGTGTCAACATAAACCAGTGTGGTCATCTGCACGCCTGAACTCAGAGAGACAATGAACTTCTACATTGACTGGCAAAAAGTTAAACCCTGTTGTTTGGATTTACACACCCACTCACCGTGGGAGTTTAAAGAAAAAAAAAAGCTCTTCTGTAAACAGAAAAGCATCACAGGCAAAAGGGCTGAGACATAACAGGAGGTAAGCTTCATTCTATGATGACCAACAATGTCCTGGTCTGACATTTCAATACTGAACTGCTATTTTATAAAACACCATTTACAGTGTCATGACAAAGCCAGATGAGAAGTAGCTGTCACTGAATGTGGAATCATTACACCAAACTTAAGAAAACAACCAGATACAGGTATAATATGTAAAAACTCACTCTACTCTAAAAGCACTCTACTGGTGTTTGAAAAAAGAAATCAGTATAAAATGTGGTGCAATAAATACAAAACAATTTTACAGATGAGTGATTAAAAACACTGTACAGAAGTTTGTACATTACACCGAACTACATCTGTATATAAAGCCCAGCCTTGAAGGTGGATTCCAGGTGGAATCAAGTGTCTCCGGAGGACACTAAAGACTTCTTGCTTTTAAGTATGAAGCCAGATTTGCAGTCTTTTTTTTTTTAACATAATGAAACAAAGAAAAAATTTCAGGCAACCAAAAAGACGCCCCGGCAATCACCACTTTTGTGACCGAGAGGAAATAACGATGGAACACAGTTTAGAAGAAGAGGTATCAATTTTTACACACTTTTACACAACACTTTTCCTATGTTCTTTTAATATACTGTACACTGACCCATCTAAATTGTTGAGTGACAAGCTGTGAGAAAATGCTTTTCAGAAAGGTTTGGCAAGACCAAATCCAACCAAAAGAATGGGAAAAAAAGGAAGTTAAGCATCAAAAGTGGACACAGTAAACAGCATAACTGAAAGAGACTGCATCTGGGCAGTAGACGCTACAGCCACAACTGAACTTAAGGCTGGTTCACAATACTTTAAAACAGCACCAGTGGTCACAAAGGCTGGGCTCCTCCATCTAGGACACAAATCACTAGAGATTGTTTGGTGGAAATGTGAAAAAAAATCTGTTAGAGAGGTGGGAAATTAAAAAAAATAAATAAATAAAAAATCTGACTTTGTGTCTTTTCTTCATCCAGGAACAGCCAGACACTCCTGATGTTTAAGTACTTTACAATATCATGAGCCAATTACGTACACACTGAGTGAGACCGTTGATATGAAAAACACAAGTACTTTTGTAATGTCATACAATTACACTATATACCATTATAGTTCACCTTAATAGGACTATTTTCACAGAGGTCTGCGTAATGTTCAACACCTAAACGAACAAACGTAATACACCACTCACTGAGATGAAGTGAGAGAATCTGTCTGTAAACATTAACAAACATATATACTGTATATAATTATATTCAACTATACTGAGAAGGATATTAAAATCATGTTTAAAGAAGATTGGAATGTAGCGTGGTCCTAAAACAATTGCACAAAAAACAGTCGATTCCCTCACCCCCCTCCCCGTCCTTCTCTTCCCCCTCCTGAAGTCGGAGAAAGAGATTTGATGACAGATCGTGAAGCAGAGAGATTCCAGCCCAAAAAAGGTTAAATTCCATGAGGCCATCCTGGCTTTTTTTTGAGATGCGGTCAGCGCTTACAGCAGGTAAACACAAAACGAGAAGCAGTAGTGGAGGAAAAGTTCAGCTGTACGATTCCCTCCACCCCCACCTGATGAGTCCTTTCCCCAGTGCAGTGCAGAGATTTTCCTCAGCTGAAAAAAAAAAACGATTTTAAAGAAACCCATTGAGGCTGTGGTCTAGGTCCTGTGATGAATGCTGGGAAAGTGTAAAAAAAAAAAAGGCTTTATGGCAAGAGAGGAGGGAAATGGCACAGTTATGCCTGGTCACTTGGTGTCGACACTTCAGTCTTTTAGTGCTGATCAGCAGCCACCACACTGGTCACAGAGCACTAGATTCCGGGGAGCCACACCAGCACACACTGCAGGGAATGAGGTATTGAGGAAGCTGCAGAGTCACTCTGCAGCCGGTTCACCCGTCTCTGGCTCCTCTTTGACTCTGATGGGGCTCGGTGCAGAGTGCTGTACCTGGGTGGAGCTGGAGTTGGAGCCCAGAGGACTGAGGGGGTCGTGACTGGAGCAACAGGGACGGCCTTCCAGGGAGGAGGAGGTGAGGGCGCCCGCCTCATGAGCTTGGCAGAAGGACCGGGGGCAGAAATCGCAGAAGGATGAAGCTCGAGCACCGCAGATGGTACAGTCGTGCCACGGACATTCCCAACGCCCTGTTAGCGGGAGGAAGGACCAACGCTGAGATCAGTAACTGATGCTGCTTTTAAAGGAAATGATAGAAAGACTAGTGAAGTTACAGTCTTCTTCTTCTTTTTCTTTCGGCTTTGTCCCTTTTTTTCAGGGGTTGCCACAGCAAATCATTGATTTCCATCTCTCCCTGTTCTCTGTATCTTCTACTCTGACTCCAACTATCTGCATGTCCTCCCTCACTGCATCCATATATCTCCTCTTTGGCCTTCCTCTCTTTCTCCTACCTGGTAGCTCCATCTCTAACATTCTTCTACCAATGTATCCACTGTCCCTCCTCTGCACATGTCCAAACCATCTCAATCTGGCTTCTCTAGCTTTTTCTCCAAACCTTCCTGTCTGTGTTGTCCCTCTAATGACCTCATTCCTAATCCTGTCCATTCTTGTCTCTCCTAAAGAGAATCTTAGCATCTTTAACTCTGTCACCTCCAGCTCCGCCTCCTGTCTTCTGCCTATTGCTACTGTCTCTAAACCATACATCATGGCTGGTCTCACCACCGTCCTGTAAACTTTTCCCTTCACCTTAGCTGACACTCTTCTGTCACTCCTGACACAGTGAAGTTACAGTGTAACTGCTGAAATGCTTCAGTCAACTTTATTTGAACTTACAAAACACGTTTGCCTTCATGGACCTCAACCTGTATATAAAAAGAAACTCACCTTTGAAAACCTTAAAAAATAAGAAAAAAAACAATATCTTAAAATTTTATAGATTAAAATAAAAATAAATAAATAAAAGTGTAGTGACATTAATGTAAATTATTTCATTTTTTAACATGTTTCTTATACTGCAGGGGAGGGAAAAGAAGAAGAAAAAAGGTCCAAAAACAGAACCTTGAGGGACACCACATGACTTCTTCTGCTTCTGCAGCCTTTTCAAAGAGATACACACTTCTCCTTTTTTCTAGTCTAACTGTTTTTAAGAATATACATTGATCCATCCATTTTCATCCACTTATCTGTTACCGGGTCGCAGGGGCAGCAGTCTCTATGACCGCCACCCAAATCACACTGCACCGTACCAACCCCCCTGAACCTTCCTGCAGGTGGTGAGTCCACTGGAAGGTACCAACCGCCCTAACCGGGATTCGATCTTGCCCAGGAGGTGAACCCTGGGGTTCCACAACAATAACAGAGACATTGCCACTGGGCCAAAGCGCCACTTTTTAAGAATATATTATTAAATATAGTGTTAGGTATAATACAGTTACTATTTTTTTTCTTTACCATATGGCGGCTTCGTGAGGTTGAGACACAGAAGGTGGTAAGCCTTCAGGCAGTCCTTCCTGTCGCACATGACCAGCTCCCCTCCTTCTCCGCAGCAGTAACAGAAGTACTCGTGTACGTGTTTACCCTCCAGCCTCAGCTTCCGCTTCTTCGGCTTCAGCTTGGCGTTCCTGGCTTTCTCTTCTTTCTCTAGCACCATAGCGCTCTACAGAATGGATGTAAAGGCAAAATATCCTTTAAACAAACTGAGGCTGAAAAGCCTTTCAAAGGTTTCAAGGGACTGAAATGGAAATAAAATCCTCACCACTGGCTGCACCCCAAGAAATCCAGAGCAGTTGTCGGATCCACAGTGACAGGACATTCGTCTGTTGCCCACACAGTACAGGTTGTAGTTGAATGTCAGCTCTGTGCCTGCAGGACAGAGAACGTTCATTAAAGTCTGTCTGACTCCTTTCAGCATGTGGACGTAGATGTGATCGTACGAACGTGACATGGATCTAATGTATGAACTCACCAGCCTCGATATCACAAAGAGCAAAGAGTCCAATGTGGACGTCACCGCTCACGGTCCACTTCTGTGTTTCACAGTTTGGGCTGCAGCTGTGATTCATGAAGCGAGCAGAGTTTCCCTTCGGACCGGCGTCTATCACACGGTCCTGCAAAGAAGTGTGGTTAGAAAGTCCAAGTTAGAAAGACAATTTTAACTACAGTGTGGTATAAAAAGAGTCAGACGTGCTAATCGTACCTTGGTCAGGGTGAGCATGTAGAAGTCGGACACGCGGTGTTCATGGGCATGTTTGATTCGCTGCTGGCACTCCTCTGCGTCTATCAACTCTCCCACGTACTCTATCACAAAGTCACCCTAAAAAAACCCCAACAGTTTGTTGACATTAAGGAAACAAAAGAACTGGATTCTAATGCTGGTGCAGTGGTCCAGTGAGATCCAGCCCTGACTGAAGAGTCAGTAACACACACTTTATTAATATGTATACAGTAATACCTTGAGATACCAGCGTCCCGACATATGAGTATTCCGAGATACGAGCAAGCCTTCGAACACATTTTTGCTTTACAGTACAAGTAAAGATTTGAGATACAAGGACGCTTCCCTCCCTTCCTCCGTCCTCCTCCGCACATGCCGCCATTAGCCGCTACAGTATCATCTGTCTTGAAGGTGTCATACTGTACCTGCTGCAGCGCTGCAATCGAGCGATTGGTTCCACCTGCGCTCACCGCCTTTCGCTGATGAGCGAGCAGCGTATTTAAGCTGCAGCCACACACTCCTCGCTGCCAGATTGTCTCGTCTGTTCGCGAGGGCTGCACGTCCTCGTTCAATTTCCAGTTGTGGCGATTTTCTGCTGTCCAAGTCTTTCCTCTAGTGACGATCACAGCCCGTTCTCACCTGCTCTGTGGACGAGAGTTGTCCTACCGTTGTTGAGGAGTTTCTGCAGTTTTCCGCTCCGCCTTTCCGCTCTTGTTTTGGTTCCGCTGCTCCGCAGTCCAGAGGAAATCCACCACGGTGAGTTATGTTAGGGAGTCCCACGGGTCACTCCCGTGGGATTCCCTAACACGCGGAAGTAGCTACGTCAGCCACGGGATCTCTAAGCGGAGATCACGTTCGTCAAAGAGACTCATTGTTCCAAGCGGAGACTCCCTTTGTTCTAAGCCCTTGTTCATTATCAATATTCCCCGTTTATTCATGAGACCTCCTTTTATTTCAAGCGGAGACACCTTTTGTTGAAAGACCCTGCACTACCAAGACACGTGTTCATACGTGCTGAATCTTCAGTAAACTTTCTGTCTCGGTTTGTTGCATTTGGGTCCAAAGCCTGACGTCCCTGACAGAAGGTAAGAACTCATAATTAAAACCATATTTTATTTTATATCACATTAATCCTTATACTCTAACTTTTTTGTGTGTGCATGTCTCTACAGCAATTAAACATGTTTGTTTTTTTTCCATTGTTATTAGCACCAATAAGGGAGTTTTTTTTTTTTTTTTTTTTTTTTTTTGAGGGCGGGAATTTATTTTTTTTTTTTTTTTTTTTATTTCTTATGGGGAAAAAAATTGAGTTATGAGCACCTTGAGTTACCAGCTTGGTCCGGCAATGGATTTGGTTGTATCTTGAGGTATTACTGTACTTTATATAATGTAATACAAACATAATGTGCTTTAACTTCTATTAAATCAAGGGTTCAGCTCTGGGAGATTTGCATTAGTGAGTTTATAATGTAATGAACCTGATACAACAGCTGTTGTCCATAGACCTGTTTTAATAATGAATGTCTGTTATTTATAAAATTGATAAGACTTTTTTTTTTTTTTTCCCCCATTCATGTGATCGCAGCCGTCAATGAAGACACGCCAGCCCAGATGTTTTTATATGCTACATTTTACTTGAACTCTGATTTATATTCATTAAAGTGAAAGAATAGTTGTTTGTGTGTGTGTGTGTGTGTGTGTGTTTGTGTGTGTGTGTGTGTGTGTGTTTGTGTGTGTGTGTGTGTGTGTGTGTAAAATCAATTTAATTTTTTACATTTTGGGGGGACCTCATTTGAATTTCAGGAGAACCCAGATGGGGCCACAACCCCAAAGTTAAACACTGGTGTAACTATAGGTTTAAGCAGCTTAACTGCACAATGTACACAGAGCTTGAAGATCAGATGCTGTTTGTTTTTTTTTTGTTTTTTTTAAATAAACATTACTGACTATGTCAACATAATACAGTTTTAGAACCTTGGTGAAGAGAAAACTGTCTGATTCAAACAGAGAGAGATCACCTTAAATCATTTGTTTCATGTTATGCATTTATGTGTGTTCGTGATGTGAGGAGCACATTAGCATTTTCCAAGTCTCTCTTTTGTCTTCACTAAGGTAAGAAAAGAGACACACCTTTCTGAGAGCTTGGTTCGTCCTGAGTCCCCACCCTCGACCGTCTGTCTTCACCACTTCTGTCTCTGCGTACTGCCTCTTAGAGAAACACTGGTTTTCACAGCTCATCCCTGCTGGACACACCTGGTAATAAGCAGCAAATAATGGAACTTAGGTTAACAAGAAGTAACAATAGAATAAAATCATCTCGAACTATAAACACACCTGAGAGTGACACTCGTACTGCAGCACACGGTTAAGACACTGTGAGTCTAGGCTGCACGGGTGATCGTCCGTCGGTTTGCAGTTGCATCGTGGGATTTCTGACAAGTCAGCCATGAGAACCTGTACTTTTCCCACTGGTTTGTTTGACTAGGACAAAACACATTTGTGGTTATGTGGCTGCTGTGTTCACAGTATTTGGTTGTTTTGAACTGAACTAAAACTTCATGGTTCAATACCTTGATAAACTTGTAGGGTGGAGGTTTACGTGAGTTGCGTTCTTGCGCCAGAGCCTCCCTGCTTTCTCTTTGGGCTTTAAGCTCCTGAAATCTCCGCGCTGCTTCTTCTAGAGCTAAATACAAAAAAAATGCCACATGAGGGTATCAGAAAAATACTTTCCAAAAAAACATGATGATGAAACTCAAAAACTAAAGAGAAGTAAGTCACCTTTCTTGAAGGTTTTGTTAATGTTGATCTGACCAGTGACAAAGTTCTTGTCATTCTCCACGTAAGGGAAGACGCGGCCCTGGTTGATCCAGTAGTAATCATGGGAACCAAAGAAGAAGACGGGGAAGTCACCGATGTCATGACGAAGGCTCTGGATGTTGGACGGAACCAAACGAGGGTTGCAGATTTCAGCTGGCCACCACCTGCAGCGGAACAAGATGTGAAATGTTAAAACAATGGAAATAATCATAATAACCAAAAATAAGGACATGGACATTTAATTGAGAAATTTTAAATTATGGATATTATCAAAATTTGATTATTATGCTGCTGACTTTACTTTGGCATTAACTATAAAAGAAAATTAACACATGAATAAAAGAGCATTTTTTTATGCTTATTTGCAAAGTGCTACTTTAACTTTTAATATTTTTTTTAATCATGTGACACACGGGAAGTAAAACAAGTATTTCCACGGTAAAGGTAAGCATTTATAACATGGTCTGCAATTGTTTCTGGATAATTCTGCTTGAATTAAAACCCATGTAAAGTTTGAAGGATTTAACAGAATTTAAAAGATACACAAAAAGCCACATCTCTGCTGCTGTGTATGCTGTAAATGAGTGGTTGGTTTTTAGCTGTGAGGCAGGAAGACGACACCCAGCTTCAGTGTCAAACACTGTTTATCACTGAGTGACTACCAAACAGTGAACCTTCAGAATGAAGGGAAAGATGCCTGAGGAGAAAACTGAGGGCTGATACAGCGCAGTAGATGTGTCTTGGCACAGTTTGATTAAAGTTAAATAAAATATTCCTCCAGTGACTGTTTTGTTAAAACATTTTACCTGCTGTAAAATCTCAAAGAAAGACTCAAGTACTCAAAAATGGGTGGTATGCTATTTTTATGCGAACTGATATGCTAACTTTCTTAACTGATACATTTCCCTTAATTGATACATTTTTATACAAAATAAAATAAAACAAATGTATTTCTATTTTCCATTAAAGTGTGAGAAATAAGTTGTTTAACATATGAAAAGCATCATAAAAAATGACTGTGTTCAAATAACGGTAATTTGAAGCTGAAAATAAAAACGTTTTGTAATTTTGCCCTTTTTTATTATCTGTTTATAAATCCAACATCAGAATAAAAATAACCAGAACATTATTAAAAGAAACTCAAAAACGAAAGTGCTCTCTGCATACCTGTAGTTGCCCAGTTTGACCCAGACAATTTGTTTGTAGTGAGGCTTCTTCCCAGCCCTGCAGTCACTGCAGGACCACAGGCCATCCGGCATCTCCATCTCCAAACACTCCGGGTGGAAGGACGCTGGGCATGAGTTGCAGAACAGCAACTTGCCTCCTACATTTTGAAAGATGTAAACGTGTGTGTGTGTGCATGTGTTGGTGTGTGTGCGCGTGTGTGTGTAAGTGCATGCATTGTGAGGAATGGGTATGCAAAGAGAGGAGGAGTGAATGATTAAGTGATGCATCTTAAACCTGGACAAATGGAATCTATTTTGCAGACAGGCCTAAAAAAAAAACAGGGTCAACTCTGATCTGACTGAACAGCACTGAGTCAGAGTTCCTAAACCACAGCAAGTTCACTTCAATCTATCTCTGCCGGGAGTGACATCTGGCCTGGGATGACAAGCTAAGGCCGAGAGATGTTTCCTTCAGGCTCCAGTGACGGCCAGAAAAATGTGACTCTCGGATACAGCAACCACCGTCACTGTGGCAGTAACAGCGTGTCTGGCAATCAGATTCAGAGCACTGTTCCAAGACCATCTTATGTGAAAATACATGCAGCAGCGCAGCAACAAAAGTGAGCCAGCAAGTCAACACCAAATCAGGGTTATCAACGGGTGGAACGGTAGCAAAAAAAACAAAAAAAGCAGGCATGCCTGTAAATTCCAATTGCACATTCCGCACAGACCAGCTTGCATGGAATTATAACTTGTATTTGTTCAAATGAAGTGGTAGGAAAATTATATTTAATTATTATTATTATTATCATTAAGTTTAATTTGATTATATGTAGAGTAGTGTTCCATCCAAGACAGGTCAAAGCTAAAAAAAAGAAAAAAGGCAAATTTGGACATACATTTAAAAAATAAAAACTACCCATAATAAAACTTGGGAGTGACAAGGAAGGGATAGAAGGGAGGCTTTTCAAATGATGCTCACACCCAGAGTGCTGAAGCAGGGAAGCAGTGCACCTCCAGCAGAGATTACCTCCACAAACCACCTGATCTAATCCAGATCATCAGATTATCAGCACCAGATTATCATCAAACAGCAGTGGGAACATCTGATCATTCATGATCATTCATGACCAATCATGGTTTCTCAACAGAGGAGCTTGTTCAATGT